TTCAACTTCTAAAAAAACAGAATATTATTTTACAGTCCACCACCTTGTCCAAATTACAAATAATGAATGGAATAAATTCATACAAAAGATCAATTGATTAAGGTCAATCTGATAATAAATTTCAGGTTCAGGCATGAAATTCTAAAATAATATCTTTACCGTTAGCAGCTTAATTAGAATAAATGACCTCGCGTGCGAGATGGCCAAAAAAAAACAAAAAGGAAAAGAAAAGAAAAAAAACAGATTTTGATTCTGAAGTCTGAACACTCAATGTGGTGACAGAAGATTCTGGGTCCACGTTACACATGGCTGAAGGCATTGGTGAATGGTGATTTCATCCGTATACACTCTTGCAATTGCACACATAAATATGAATAAAAAAACTGAATAATTGAAGTGGAGGTGTAACAGGGCTATACGTGTATGTGCATTATTGTTTATCTATTTTATTTTTTAAAATTAAGATAAAAATTATTTTAAGATTATTTTTTTTTAATAAAATATTATAAAAAAGATTTAAAATAATTTAATTTATGTTTTAAAAAAAATATTTTAATTTTTTAATAAGAATTTATTGAAACGACATAATTTATGAATAATTTTTTTGTTAATATTTTAGAGATAAAACAGATAGTATAGAGTAAATTGTCCTCATGTTTTTTTTTTTCTTTTAGAAAACCTATCTAACAATCCATATTTAAATTAATATTTTCAAAAACCAACCATTAGATTAAAAGTTTTATTTATATAAATTATGTATATTAATTTCAATATTAATCTAACATGTATAACCTTTTGATTAAAGCAACTCTATTTACTGATAAACATTTAATGATGTTAAATCTTTTGTAGTTAATGAAGTGGTTAGACTTATTAAATTAATATGAAAATTTACTTGCGTGATCTAAATAAATAGAATTTTTAATTTAATAGTTAGTTTTTGAAAATGTAAATATGAAAATGAGTTTTTAAACATATCCTTTAAAAAAAAGATTTAAAAGAACAATACAAAACACATATATATGAGTAAAAATTCACTTTCAGATAAATTTTACATACCACAATTACATAAAATTTCAATCATTTATCTGTTTATTTTCAATAATTAAGATTTATTTACATTTATTAAAAATTATTATTATTATTATCATTTAAAAAATAATGATAAATTTCAATAATTGAAAGTTGAGAGATAAATAATTAAGATTATATATATATAAACGTAATGTATATACTATCAAACTTGTATGTGAATACATCATTCATATATATATATATATGTTATAGCTAGTTTGGATTGGCTGCTAACGCAAGCTAGCTAGATCCCAAAGGTATTAATTGTTAAGCAGCAAATTAATTGGTGGATTAGACTTAAATTTCAAGAATCTTATTATTCCTTTGATGTAATTGGGTTCGAATTCTTAGATCAATTTCAAGGATGTTGATTATATATGTTGGGTATTAACAAAAATGAAAACTGTAGGTTTTTTCAAATCTTTTTATATTTTGGATGGGAGATTCTGTTAAATGGAAAAAAAAAAAAATCTTACATTGAAAAATAATAAAGAATCATCTAAATTAAATATAAAGAACAGTATTTCACCTATTATTAATTTAGTTTTATATTAAATCTAAAACTTTCAAGATTTATATTAAAATCCATGTACTTAATCTTCCCAATAATATCTGACTTGGGAAGGTGATATATCAAACCTATTTGTTAATCTAAAATCCTATTGCTTACGTCTACACGTGATTAGATTCAAACTTATTTGTTCATAGTTTATATTTTTTTATAAAGTTAGCCTATTTTTTAACTAGTAGATCAAGACCTTATTTGCTATAAAAGTAACCTCTACAAAAGGATAAGTGTTTAGGATTTAAAGGCAATGAGAGAGGATTAAAGGTCCCCCTAAGCGCCGGCCTAATGCTTGTCTTTGATTTCTCTCAACCTTTCCCTTTGTAGTTGCGGGATCAATATCTCTCAAGCCATCTAATTATATCATATCATTCAAGGCTTGATTGGTTGTATTTACTATCCAAAGTGGCAAAAGAGAAGACTATATCCCAATAAAGAAAAATACGTCTAAAACATTACTTATCTTGCAACCCATTTCAAAGGATACTTTAGCCCTTGATTTTCAGGGCAAAGCTTGAGGTGGTTCACTTTTATAATATACCACTAGTTCCCATTTTTTCAAGACATTTTGATGTTACCCTCTACCAAAGCTGCCCTCCTTTGAAGACGCTAGACTTTGGAATTACCAACACTATGATGTTGAAAACTCAGCCCCCTCTCTTTGAAATTATTGGGGTGGGAAGAAAAAGGTGGATGAGAGCAAACTTATGAATGGATTGTGCAAAGACTAAGTTCATATCTACCTCACTTAATTCACACTACACCCCACCAATCCTAATAAGCACTATATGTCTCAAAAAAGCAATGTAGAGAGGATGTAACTGGGACACCCCCAACATAAAAGAGAATTCAAGATTTTGTTCTCATTATTTTAGTAGGGTAGCCAGCTAAACCACCCCCCCTTTTCCCTATGCCCCTTAAAGATTTTGAAAAGTGATAGGGAAAAGTAACATAGAAATTTTGATGGGTTTTGTGAAATGAAGTGAAAAGGGGAAGAAGAAGAAAAGGTTTAGTTCTTATATCACATAGTCTGCCATGATGAGAGGAAAAGGTCATGTGCCAATGCCATTCAAATCTTTGTTCCTTTACTCGTGAAGAGCAGAAGCTATTTACCTCCTCGCTTCGAGGCATTGGGTCCTACTCTCTTCACTCCATGATTAAGGACAAGACAAAGAAAAGCATAGGGAAATATATAGGTAGGGACATAGATAAAATGGAATGGGAAAACTAGAATATTAGAGGGGGAATTAGAGGTTTGAAAATGTCATTAAATTAGTGGGTAATAATTCAATCATATTCTTAACTGACGTTAATAGTTAGCCTTAATCTACAAAATGTGTTTTCCAACCCAAACGCAGAAAGAAAGAGCAGAGCAGATAGTGGGAAATCCATGCAATCAAAAAGCCCAGCTTGGTCACGCGATGATAAAACAAGAAAAAGGCAATTAAAATGGGCCTTATCGGCATTTCCATTTTTTCTTTTCAAAAGCATTTTTGGGCCTAGCTAGGCCACCACCATCACATAGAATTCATGCTCCAAAACACAGTGATAATTAGAAAGACATTTAAGGGACTGAAGAAATCTCAAAGACTCAAACATAAACAAGATGCCCGTGAATTTCGTCCTTATAGCATAATTTTAAGAAAGAAAATAAAATCCAGCAATAATGTGGTTACAATAATAGATTTTAATTTTAAGATTTTACTTATAACTTATTATTAAATAAGTAAATATATACAACATCATAAATAAATTTATTAAAAAAATCAACCATATAATAAAAGATATAAATTTATAATATAACATAATATTATAATTATATCATTTTCAAAATTAAACTAATTAATTTTAATTGGCCAAAAAGTATTTCAAGCTGATATACATAGCCATAATTTTTTGTTGATATGAAAAACTGTCCAAAATATGAAAATTTATAAGAGTAAAGCAGTTGAGAGTGATAGTTTGTAAGAATTATAGATAATTTACAAAACAAGGAAAAAAGATATAATACATGAGTAGTTGAAGTTGAACATTATGGAGCTAGATTTTCGATTTTATTATACAACTATGACAATGAAATATAAGTCAACAACTCCCAATGCAACATGGATTGAAAAAAAAAAAAATTTTATCTGAGGACTCACAAGAAGTTTTTATTTCAATGCTGAGTCAAGGAAGGGAATGAAGGTATTGACTGCAATATCAACTTCCGCCCACTCCTATGACTAACTGATGACCCTAGATCGTAGTGAGGAGGAGAGATCCTCTTACTGTTAGGAGAAGTCGTCTTGATAACAGTGCTAGGGGAGCAACTGCCTCGAAGAATCTCGGGCATTTCATCTTCTGGAAGAGTTTGGAATTGTTTCTCAAACTTGGTTTGAGACCGGAGAATGTTAGGTTTTGCATATCTTTGACCACTAAACAACCCGGATGATGATCCAATTGTCACAAATGAACGTGGTGGTTTACCAGTTGATGAAAATGGTAGTGGAACCAATGGTCTGGAAGGAAAAAAAAAATTGTTAAGAGTTCTTGTAACAATAAAGCTTGGTTCACAAGATATCTAACAGTTTGCAAATAAGACCTGCAGAGCTGTAGTGGTGTGGTTGGAAGGGCAGGAACTGGATTCTGCTCTTCATCATTGAAGATTTCTGATTTCTGTGAAGTTATGTCCAAACCACTCTTTTCACAATTCTCTGTTTCTTCTTCTGGTTCCCCCTCTGTTTCTGCTGTAACAGAACCCAAATTTCAGAAATATTAATGGAAAATACACATATTAAATAGATTCAATTAACAGAATCCTTTATATCACGTCAGATCAAGGTTATACTTACCATCTTTTCTACCAAATGCATTCTTACATCCTTCACATCTGCAGTTGATGGAGCATCCAACACCACCCTTCAAAGGAAAACAAAGATTTCTGGATTAGTTTACATATATAGGACATGAAAAGGCCAACAGAGCATGCTGCGGAGGAAAACCTGATAGCATTCACAATATTTCTTAAGGCAACTTGATTTCTTGCAGTTGCATCCTCTTTTATGTCGTGCTGAAGCTGGAGTTTTATTGGGTTCATCCTGCAAGTGGAAACAGGAATCAGGTTACGAGGCACTTTGCAAATGCTGACTAGAGAAAGGGCTGTTGTTGTGTTTCTAACCCCAATTTCAGGTATTGAGTCAGAGTTCCTAATCACTTTGGGAGCAAATGCAAGAGGATTGCGAGACTCAATCTGTTTACGAGTTGCAAGAACCATATCCTCATGGATGGGCTTATTAAAGCAATCTTGACAGGAACATGGCTCTATGCAGTATACACCAGCAGCAAAGCATTCACAGTAGCTACAAATTTTAGAAATTCAGTTAGAAAAGACAATTGGAAGAAAAATATAAAAGAAAATTTCATCTTTTCTATATCATTTGGTCCCAAGAAAAAAAATGGAGAAAGCAAAACAAGAAATGTGAGTCAACTGACATTTCAAAACTAAAGGCAGGGAAGGAAAGGAGAAAGAGGGTTGAACTGGAGAAGCTAGTGTGAGAACCAGTAACATCCTATTGTAATTTGTACTACAAGGAGATGTCCTGCGAAAATGAAAGAAACATGCACCAAATTCAAACACTTACAGTTTCAAACACTTTGATTTCTTGCAGTTACAACGCTTACAGGCCTCACCTTCTCCAGCAGATTCTAACCTCCGCCTGAAAATCCAATTCACAATCATGATGAGAAAAATAAAGATAAGACAGAAAGATATCATGCAGTAATAGTCCAATAAATTACATATTATAAAGTTAACATGCCTCTTCTTTTTGGGACTGTTCTGATTGAACTCTTCATTAACTAAATCCGGAGATGCTTGAGAGGCATCTTCTGCTAGCTCAACTGCATTTTCAGCAGGGTCCATTTCTCTTTCAGCTGATGCTGAAGTCAAAGATTCAAAAAAAGCTTCTTGACCTGTTGTAAGAGGAAGAATGGAGGCAGTGGGGATTGGAAAACTTATTTTTTGCGTCCCAGAAGATAATGTTTCATGCTTGAAATTTTTGGAATCCCTTGGAGTGATTGCAAGGGCATTTAAGTGCAAACCGATGCCTGGTAAAACGCATCGTAAAGAGTCACTCCCAGGCTTCACAGGCACCAATTGTTTGTCTCCAGAAGAACTACAATTTGAGCCAGTATCTAAGTTCAACCTCCGTGCTCCCAGTGTCTCAAAGTCCAGACAGCGCCTTCTTAGTCCACGATACAAGTTAGAAACAGACTGTGAGCAAACATATTAAAACGCTTTTAGTGATATCCAATCATTCAGATTGATTTTGAAATTACCAGTTAGAATAAAACCAAAAAAGGAAAAAAACCATATTTTCCACAAATAACCACAAGAAAGGAGAGGTGAAAAGAAACAAAGGTTAAAAAAAACAGGCTATGTGAATTGTTGTAGTGGAAAGATTATTTGATGTTATAGGAGGTACAGTATGAAATATGCTGGGTTTAAAAGGGAAAATACAGAAATTATCAGCTATAGTATATGACCAAGAGAAGAGTCTTATCATCATGAAGATGAATAAGAATACAATTGCTTATATACGTGAAAGGAGGAAGGAGAGTAAACAAACAACCTACAGAGTTATGCTATCTATATCTGTATAAATCGTGCAAGATAATAAACTGATAAAAAATAAAACTTAAAAAAATAAAAAATTGAGTGCACACCTCATTATCAACTTTATCAGCGGGACTGCTTGCTCTGCACTTATTCTCTACAATGTCCTGTGTCTGGTTTGTTGTCATCAGTTCACCAGCTTCTTCAGTTTGCAGGGAAGGATGTTTTTGTTGTTCAATTGTTTGTGGGAACTGAGAAATAAGAGAAGTACAAAATCTAGCACCAGAGTCCAAAGACTTATGAAAAAGCCCCCTAAAAGCCTCTGAATCATTGGGGGAACTGAAAATTAGTAGATCAGCAGTGTCAGACATCAAATTGTCCCAGTCGCAGCCAGTAGTTTCCCTCTTTTGATAAGTTTGGCATATACCATCTAAATTAACTCCATCTTCAGATACACCTTTTTCAGAAGTACCTTGAGCAAATGGAACAACTGAGCCGCACTTTGTCTCAGTAACATAAGCTACTGGGTCACAGATGGGACTCCCACAATCATATTTTAAGGTACTCTGGATCTCAATTGCAAACCTCGAAGATTCATTGGTAAGCTCGAGAGAAGCTTCTCCAATTGAAACCCCAGGATCAAAACTTTCCTGCAATACAGCTGAGTTATCACAGAGCTGAGCACCATCTATAGCAACCTCCTCCTCTGTACTTAATTTGTTGCCCTCTTGAGAATCAGTTTTCGATGGATCTGTACGATTATTACTGGAAAGAAAAATATGGTAACATTAAAGCAACTAGGTTAAAAAGTAAACAATAAAAGTACGTAGCGGTTTCACTAGAAGATCAAGGACCCCATAAATTACCTTCTAAGGAATCTAGATTCCTTGTGAAGGCTCACATGGGGCGAAGTGAAGATAGATGGAAGGGAAGCAAAGCTTAGTGGATTGAACGTCTGAGTAACATGTATGGACTTGACTGGCTTGATTGGAGAAAGGCTGTTGATATAGTTAAAGACAGGGGAATCCTGCATACAGTGGGAAAGAAACCCCTCTTAGATCATGAAAGATGGTCTAAAAGTAACATGTAAACAGATTCAGCTACAGAACTAGATGCCTTTGAGCATAAACTTATGCTAGCTAGAAAAACATCTTTTGAACAACTTGTTCAGAATCAAACATTGAGTATCTCAAAACAAAGCATGAACATAATAGCAGGCTGAAAGAAACACCTTGGCATTTGTTACCTCATGAGAGCTTCGCAAATGCTACAAATGATAACAGCAAATTTTTTGAAGGGTAAAACCAGATGAAAAATCTCAACAAATTAACCATCAAAATCTAGAGTCAAAATGATAAAATTTTATCGATGAAAGATTCCTCTTAAGAAACAAGAATAATAAAAAAGAAAAAAAGAAACCACGAACTGCCTAATTCCCACAAACCAGAAGCCAAAAAATCACCTTGAAACTGCCTAATTCCCTAGAACTGAAGTTCACATGACACTAAAACCTCCCCTCAAAGAATTACAAAGAAAACCACCCAATTTAACAAGCAAAACCCAAATACCACTAAAACCCAGAAACACCAAAGTCAACTGCAAGTAAAAAACCAAATCCAGAACATGCAGTGAAGCACAGAGCAATCAGACCAGAACCCACTTCACAGTTCACAACCCTTAAACCAAAACCAAATTCACTCAACAAAAACATGGGTTTGAAATATCAAGAGCAAGATTACCTCAAATTTAGAGAGTGGAGTACTGATCTGGGTCTTCTGAGGGGTGTCCATCACCTCCGGTATATCTCACCTTCATCCACTGTTAGACTCTCACCTTTTTCCCTTTCTCTCTATCCATATATCCATACCATACCCATGTTATGTACCCTTTTACTTTATCCTTCTAAGTACTTTGGATTGTATTGGCTGTGTGTGTTTATTTTTGAAGAAGCGGGAAGGCGGGAGTTGAGGATTTTCTCTCGGGATGGAGACAGAGCCGACCCTACAATGAACAAAGAAGAAAAAAGGAAGAGCCCCACACCAGAGCAGCGTGGCTCTGCGTGGATATTATATTGTGAGATGCCGCTATCTATCTACTTCGATAATCCAGCATTAGAATTGAATCCACTTTTGAATAAAGTAACGCATAGTGGTTGATCATGTCTTTACTCTTCCTAGATTTCCCTCTCCTTTCCCACCTTTTCCCACTTTTGTTTGCAGTTGTGGAGGGAAAACCAAGTGTGGACCACGGGGTAAATGAAAAATTCTACAGCATAATTACGATATAATTAATATAAAAATATTATAATTATAATGTTAAATAATATTATAAATTTATAATAAAAATGTAGTATTAAATTAGTAAATATATTTAATAATTGATATTACATGTATAATAATACTACATAATATTTTTATTTTAATTTCGTTTGACAATACTTTTTAAAGATTTTTACTTTATCTAAAAATATAAATTTATAATTCTTAATTAATTTTAATTTTATATATTTTTATTAATTTTATTAATGTTTTATATTTTTCAAAATAATTAAAAAATATATACAAGTACTACATCACACCACTAATAGACTGATAGACGAAGCCTATATCACTTTTGCTTGTATAATTGGTTAATAAAATTTTGTAGGATAACTGAAATACAACATTTCTACAAAAATTCTATTTAGGCAGAATAGGGTAAGGCGAAAAAATAGATTCAAAGCACTTCTCATATATGTTTTTGACTAAAAATGGTAACTGAAGTATCAAGAAAACAAACAAGGTAACATCAATCCTGATTTTATTTTTACCCCAAAAATTGATGAATCATGATGAACAAAAGTATTCAAGTGCTACATTCAAAACCGTTATTCAACATTAATGCAAATCGCAAAAGATATGTCCCAAAGTGCTATAGATATCGATAAGAAGGTACCTAGGCCAATTAAGGTGTGCAAAATGAAATGAGAATACACATAAAGTGGAGTATTAAATTGGCTAGGTGAACGGAACGTCTGAAACCATGACTTTCTCGTGAACCATAAAGAATGAAGATTGCTTATGTCATCATACCAAATGCAATTAAATAACAATTCAGCTCTTATATTATTGGAGTTTTTCTCTTTACAATGTTAATTAACAATTACCAATTTAATTGGCATGGGGCCAACAAGTCTGGCAAATGGCATTTGGCGCCAAAAAATTTTCAAAGTTAGGTGCAAAATAGGTCTAAGCACAACCACATGCAGTGGACCTTCTCTTCAACCCCACACGTCGTATTTTTGTATTGAGGGTGATGAAGATGGTTATTATAGTAATGGGCAACTGAAATTTCATGTTTGCTCCATTTATCAAGACCAAGTTAACTCTTCCATGTCTTGTGTTTCCATTCCACACAAAATTATATACATTTCCATTAATATGGTTATACATGGGAACATTAAGTAAAGCACACTTTAATTCTCACATGGTTTGTTTAGCTATTCACATTAATATTTTCAAAAAATTCTCAACTTTCCAGACCCTCCACCATGAAAAAAATTATGTACTTATTTTCTTTTTTATCATCAATGTCAATTAATAACCTTGTAGTTCTTGTTTTCTATTTTAATTATAGGTTTTCAGTTAATGAGATCAAATTGAGTGGTTATTAAACACCATATCAAACTTTTGTATTGACATTTTGTACAATTAGATATATTAATTTTCTTATACTTTATTGGTGCCATGAATAGAAATCAAAACAAGTAATTTGAAATAAGGTCCAAATAATTTTCACTAAACTAATAGGCCATTAATCCTCATGACAGCCCTACCCATTTCCTTTTAAATATACAAATTTGGATACATCTTGCTAAAACAAACATTGAGATGCAAATATATTCCCAAAGCAAGATGCTTTTATTGCAATAATGGTGACAGAACTAAAACTTTCATGGGTTTAGTACTTAGTACTAGTACTTTCCCCGTTATTCATTGAAATTTTAATTTTCACTTTGTCTAGAGTTATCATCGCATGTACGGGATGGAGGGAGGAAGGAAGGAGGGAAGGAGGGAAGGAGGGAAGGAGGGAAGGAGGGAAGGGGGCGGTGCCCTTAATTTCAAAAGGGCAAGTACTGTGGTCCCTTCACTGTATGTCAGAGGGTGCCCCATTCCCAAACCGAATCATGACCCATTCTGCTAAAATATGTTCTTTTCCAACTCCCCACATTTGCTCTGCTCATCAAACTTCATGCCAAAATAATGCTGTCTACTACGTGCTACATGAACAAAATCAACAAAAGAAAAAAAAAAAAGGTATAAAATTGTTTAATTATGTTCTGTTCTTCTCTCTGAATGATGCCTTTTGATTTAGAAATATGAGTAAAGGAAGTGTTTGGAGGATTTATTCTAATTGTCAGATTGGGGATTAAAAGAATCAAAGGGAAGTTGACTAAAGAAACTCAAGGTTTTGGTTTAATAAATAAATAAAGCTGGATTCTCTTTGCTGCTCGGAAAAACCCAAAAGAAAAGTTAGTATTAAAGCAATGATTAGAATAGGAAGTGCCGTGCCTGTTATTACTCTGAAAAGTGAAATGTTCCATGGCATCTCAAGACAAGATTGTGGCAGATCAGAGCTTGTTACGTTGGATGGGACTTTGTTGGAAACTTTCCCCTTTGTTTTTGGGATTTACCTTTTGGAGGTGCTTCAATACATTGTCTAGTTTTTCTTGGATGGGGAATTATAGAGGCTATTTTGGTTTTCTTCATGTTTCCTTGCTTAATGAACTTTTTCCAATGGGCAACTGCATAAATCTAAGGGTGTTTTGTTATTGTTCATAAGACTTTGACAGAATAATTTTTTAGATAATATTAGTGAATATTTAGGTTTTGACATAACTAATTTCAAATTAAATAATTATATATATATTTTAAATTCAAATTTGAATTGCATCTTTTTTATTTATGTTAAAATCTACACTGTAAAAGATATAATAAAGAATTCTACTTGCTTTCATATAGAGTTAGGAGAGGGTTATTAGTGAAATTGGGTAATGCTAATTTAATTTGCTAATAAAACCACACAACCATCCCACCAAGGAAGAGGAAGTGGAGGACCATAACCATACAATATTTTTGTCTAGTTGACTTTGTATAATGGCACTTTGGGAACAAACTCCATGTCTATATCTAACCTTGACTTCCCAATCATGGGTAGGATTTGTGCAAAGAATATGCGTTATAGTTTAGTTCTCAAATTGTTTTCAACTCACAGTGGTGTTGGCTTTAATTTTGTCAACGCGCACAGTTTCAAAGGTATTAGCAATGTTGTCCAACAGAGCAAAGTTAAAACACCCACCCAAAATAATTTTCGTAGCTCTTTTCCCAATCAAGTTACCATTTACCAAAGCAACTGCAAACATTTTAGTTTAGTAATTAAAGGTTAAATCTCACAAATAATGTAACATGAAAAAAGTACCAACAATTTATAACCTAATTGATTATTATGAAATTTTATTTAAATTGCAATAGAGATTGAATTTAATTTATATAATAAATAAATAAAATGTTGATTAAATATAAAAGAGCCAACTCCCATCAAGTGATGTACTTAAGTAAAAAAAAAAAAGAAAAAGAAAAAGAAAAGGATAAGGTAGGGGGCCTAAATCCGACTTGGATGCTAAAGTGGGATCCTTCTAATTTTTTGGGTAATGAGGAGGATCCTGTATTTTTAACTTTTTGAATTCCCTATTTCTCCTGTTTGACGAGGTCTGGTGATTCAGGAAGGGTCCCTAGAGTTCTGTTTGGACTTTGGACCCAATTAACAGCAGAGGACTAGGCCCAACAAGTGCAGGAAAAGACTGACAGAATTGGTATCTTCAGGCTAAATCATTGAAATTTGGATTGACCTGTCGTAGAAAACAGCCTGAATTAATGGCAATGATTTGGCGGATGATTAAGCCATGTAAGGCCTTAATCATTGCCTACATGAATCTTTGCGGTTCTACGGAAAAAAATGTGACGGAAGTTGAAAGTTGAAGAGGATAAATCCAGTAATGTTAGTATTTGTACAGGCTATCAGTTAGACTAAATAGAGATCAATCTGCATTTATTTTATATTA